GGTTGGTGCCTGACGTGGCCCCGGTGGTGTTCTGCCAGACCTCCAACAAAGCTGAGGATGCTGGCAGTTCATTGAGCGAGCAGAAAGCCGGGAGCTGCTCTGTCCATCTGTCTTAAGGCAAAGCAGAGAAGCAAACCCCCAACAGGAATTAACGCTAGGGAACGAAGCTGCGCGCTGCCCTCAAACACAGCTCCGTGCTCCTTAACCACGCGTTCAGGTTTCACACTGCACCAGCTTCTTCCATTGCAAATGTTTACTTTGATGAACAGGGAGTGCCTTGTCCTGCGCTGGGGGAGCAGAGCGGAGCGTTGGGAGCTGAGGGCCCCTCTGGGGGGTTGGGGGCTCCGAGCTCCTTCACCCCCTTGTGCTCTCCAGGAGCCACACTGCATTGGGCTCTGGGGGTTTCCTGCAACGCACTGGGATGTGACAGAGGGAAAGGAGGGGGGGATCCTCATTGCTTGGGGAGAGCGAACCTTTGGGGTTCTGTCTGTCCTGAGGTGCTGTGTGTCCCAGTGCTGCTCTGCCCCCCGCCCTCCTGTCGTGCCGACGTCGCTGTGGGCTCAGTGGAGCTCTCTGGTGTTGCCCATCTGTGCTCGCAGGACTCCTGGAGCTACAGCTTCAAATCTGTGGGGGCTTCTGTTCTCCACAGTGTGTTCTTGCAGTGCCTTGTAACCCCTACCAGTCTGTGTGCCACGAAGGGCTGTGTCACGAAGGGCCGCTCGCATTCCCTCTGCTCGCTGTTGCTCCACTGGACTTTGTAACTGAGAACTTAAACCCGTGTTTCAAAGTAAATAAAGAGTTTAACTCTGCCTCGTGCTGTTCTTGAACGGGATTTGGATTTCTGGTGCCTTTTGGGGGGTGGGAGCAGCTTGTCTGCAGCTCCGCTCTGGGCACGAAGTCCCACGTGGGGCTGGAGCAGGGCAGGAAGGAAGGATTTGAACCGTGGAGCTGCAGTGTGCTGTGGCACCACAGAAAATCCCATCACAGAGGGGAAGGCACAGCATCCACCTGCGCTGCTCATTCTTGTGAGCCTGTGATTCGGGGGAGCAAACACTGCCCTGTGCTTCGTCTCTGTGAGCCCAGCATGGATCCATTCTGCTCCTGACTCCGGTGGTGAAGCACTGAGATGGAAGCTGCTGGGGGGCTGCAGCCGTGCCCCAAAAATGCACTGCCCAACGGGGGCACCGACGGCCAACGCTGCCTCTGCTCCGAGCTTTGTGGCAGGAGGGGATCAAGGAGGGAATCCTGCTGCCCTTGGGGAGTCTGCCTGCTCCGTGTCGCACAGCTCAGCCTGGGGATGCAGGGCCAGGTGCTCACGTGCCTGCAGTGCTGATGCAACGCTGGGCTCAAGCTGGCTCACGAGGTGCCGCTGATGTCATGCGATGTGTTGCAATCTGAGCTCCCTGCATGGGAGCTGCTGCTCTTGGGCCCCACGCACCCTGCATGCATTCCTTGGCCGTGGCTTGGGGCGATGCTGGAGGGTCTCATTGCAGAGCAGCTCCGGGCAGACCCTTCCCCCAGCATCGCCCCTCCGGGAGCCGCTCTGTTCCTCCTCCTCCATCCTCCTGGCTGAGGTGGGACGTTGGGATGTTGGCCAGCTGCCGCCTCTCCCCAGCTCAGCCATGAACCGACAGCGTTGGGGACCCCCGGGGGCCCAACACCCCCAGGGTTGTCAGCAGAGTCCATCCCTCCGCCCCGCAGTGGTTTTGGGGCTGCTCGCCAGCTGCTCCAAATCTCAAATCACTTCTCATTGCCCAGAGCCCAGGGGGGGTTTGGGGTGGGGGCTTGCAGCCGCTTCCCTCTGTTTTCTTCTCCTTTTGGCTGCTCCCCACCCCACTGACAGGAGCTCTTATTGGCCCCTGCTCACAATGCCCAGCCCAGACACCACGAGAACCCCCAGCTTTCCCATGGCAGCGCTGTGCACTGGGGCTCTCGCACAGGAATGGCTTTGAGGAGCTCCGCGCTGCCCCATCTGTGGGGAGGGGGCGTCCTGCTGCCCAGAGCCCCGCTGCTGGGCGGTGAACGGCACCATCCAGGATGAGATTTCCATTTTTGGCCGAAGGGTTTGAGCAATTTCCTGCCTTGCACAGGCGAAGGGGTCGGGGGTGGGCTGAGCCTTGCGTGCCGTCAGGTCGCAGCGTCGCTTCCAAGTGGAGCAGAAGTCTCATTTTTGGTGAATGCCGTAAGCAGAACAAAGGGAGAGCAGTCAGTCCCACTCCTGCTGCAGCAGCACCGAGGCTGCCTGCGCTCACCTGATCCGGCCCATCTATTTACAGATAGCCAAAGGTCAGGAGGGTTCTGTTGTGCACATTCACCATGACGGCACAGGCCGGACTCGGGACGCTGCACCCTGGGCTGCAGCCGTCGTTTCTGAGCCCTCCGTGCCCAAATCCATTCCTCTGAGAGAGCAAAGCTGTGTGCGGTGATGCTGCCCAGATCTTGAATGCCCACTGTCACTGCAGTTCTGGGCACCGCGTGGTGCTGGCAGAGCATGGAGAAATGGGAGCCTCCTCGGGGCGCCGCGGGCAGCGCTGGGGAAGCGGCGCTGCCCCGTTCCCCTCCACTTCCTCCTGCTGTTGGGTCGCTGCGCTGCGCGGAGCTGCAGGTGGATGCGATGGGTTCCCATGGCAGCACGGTGCTGGACCTCATCCTGCCAGAGATCTGCAGGGGGAGCCGAGTGACACCTTCCCGTGCTCCGCAGTGCCCCGGGCTCCGGGCTGCGCTTCGCCCATGATAAAGGCAGGAAATTCCTCCGTGCGACCTCCGGCAGCGCAGTGCTGATGGAGGCGGGGGGATGCTCTGATCGTGCTCTGATCGTGCAGGCTGGCGAGGACACGCCGGAGAATTTCCCAACAGATCATTCAGCATCCGCAAATGCTGCTCTGAAAGCACAAATTTTATCGCTGCTGCCTGGCTGTAAAATTTCCGGCTTCACCGCTGGCGCCTCTGGGAGGAAAACATCCGGCTTTGCAAAAGCTCTGATGCTCCTCTCCGTGCACCACACGTGGAGGGGATGGCAGCACACGGAGCGCCCACCGCCCCAAAAATGCATTGCCAGAGCAGAGCTGTGAGGGCTAGAACTCACTGCGTCGCGCTCGATGGATGGGTGCTGCGATGGCCGACGAGATGGGAGCTTTCCCAGCCACCTGCACAGCTCAGATCCTGCATTGCGGGTTGCCATCCTGCTGGGAGCTGAGCTGCCCCATGGCAGCCCCGTGCCCTCGGCAGCTCCGTACGGCTGCTGCTCACCCCACAAAGCTGCTGCATGCCCGTCCCTGCTGCGGGGATGGGGATGTGGCCGTGCAGAGCCCAATGGTGGCACGCTGAGCTGTGCGTGGGATGCAGCACTCGAGGAAAGTTGGCTCTGGCAGCAGTGCTGCCTCAGGAAATGGCCCAGAGGAACCAAAAGTGTGGTAGGCAGAAGCTGAGGGCAGGGAAAGGCAGCACAAAGGCAACTGAGGGGTTCCATTCATCCATCTGTCCGTCCATCCATCCATCCATCCATCCATCCATCCATCCATCCATCCACCCATCCGTCCGTCCGTCCGTCCGTCCATCCATCCATCCATCCATCCATCCATCCATCCACCCATCCATCCATCCATCCATCCATCCATCCATCCATCCATCCATCCATCCATCCACCCATCCATCCATCCATCCATCCATCCATCCATCTGTCCATCCGTCCATCCATCCATCCATCCATCCATCCATTTATCCATCCATCTGTCCGTCCATCCATCCATCCATCCATCCATCCATCCATCCATCCATCCACCCATTACTCATCAACCCACCCCTCCCTCCATCCCTCCCCCCCCCCAGGAGCAGCACAGCACTCACGCTGTGCCAACCCCCCGCATGCAGCCGCTCGTGCTGATGAGCCAATGCTTTCACGTGGCCACGGGTGAAAATCTTGTTCTCCTTTCTTTGCCTCAGGAAACGTCAAGAATCTGGGTGAAAAAGGCAGAAATAATGCTTGCGCCCGGCTGCCGAGATAAGCATAAATCATGGGCTGGTGGCAACGCCACGGAGCAGCTGAGCTGTGAGCTCAGCAGCGCGGAATGCAGCTGTGTCACCTCGTGTGCCCCAACCAGAGGCCACCCCACACCGTCCCCACACGGGGCTCACATCCCTTCTGCCCACAGTGGGGCGGTCGGTCCCAGCCCCCGTTGCCTGGAGCCCCTCTCCACCTCCGGGCTGGGCGACTGCCGGCTCTGCCCTCATTGACCTCTCCGGGTTTGGTCCGTCCTCTTACTGGTGGAGGAAGCTCCGACGGAGCCCAGCCGTGGGACCCCCCGTCGGTTCTCCTCCACGAGCTCTTCCCGTTGCCACGCGGCTCTGCATCAGCGCCTCTGGATCGGAGCCATCCGCGCCCGGCACCGTCCTAGGAATGATGCAAACCCCGAGCGCGGTTACTTCAGTGAGAACAGGACCGGAGCAGCGACGTGCGGCAAAGCCGGGCTGAGGTGTCATCAGCCGGAGCTCCGTTTGGGGAGTGCCGCTCTTTAATCGCGGCTCCGATCCGCTCCGCCCGCTCGTGTTGGCACCCGTCGAGCTTCTCGCTGCGGAAGGGGGGGACGAGGAGGGGACGGGGAGGGCAGGCAGGCGAGGCGCGCTGCTGCCACGCACATCCCCATCCCCATCCCCGCTCAGCTCCACGTGCCGCCCACGAGACCTCCGCCCGCCGCCGCCCCTCGGTCCGCTCAGCATCTCCCCCCCGGAGGCGCCGCGAAGCGTCCGCCCGAAACGGCGGCCGTTCCTCGTTCCATCGCCGCGCAGAGCCCGCAGTTTCATCCGTGGGACCGGGGCGGGGGGGGGGGGGGGGCTGGGATTGGGGGGGAGGAGGGCGGGCAAAGTCCCGCTTATATAAACCCGGGGCTGCTCCGCTCCATTCATTCTCCTCGCGGCATCGATAAGAGCCGCACGCGGGGCCTTTGCGCAAGAGGTTTTGCAACTCCCCGCCCGCTCCCCCCTCCTCCTCCGCCGTCTGCGCGATGCTGCGGGACGTGGGGGCCGTCACCGTCACCTGCCTGCAGCTCCTGCTGCTGGCGGGCGGCGCGCAGCCTCGGCCCCGCGCGTGGGACGAGGACGGGCAGCAGCTGGAAGCCATCAAACACGGCATCCTGCGGCGCTTGGGCATGGCCGCCCCCCCTCCCGTGCCGCACGCTCCGGACCCGGAGATCATCAGCCGAGCGCGGCGGCTGTACGAGCGGCGCGTGGCCGAACTGCGAGGGAACCGCAGCCGGGAACGGGAGGAGCGCGACGGAGCGGCGGCCGCGACGCGTTGGCACCGCCTGACCGCCATCCGTAAGTGGACGCTGCGCTCCCGTCGTGTCCCCGGACCGCGGCCCCCAGCTGCGCCCCCAGCCGCATCCTGTGTGTCTTCAAACCGCGTCCCCAAACTTCATCCCGCCGCGTCCCCCAGCCGTGTCCCACCGTACCCCAACCCGCATCCCGCCGGATCCCCAAACGGTGTCCCCAAAACATGTCCCACCATGTCCCCAAGCCACATCCCACTGCATCTCCAAACCGTGCCCCAACCCACCCCTGCCCCGACACGTGCCGGGACATGACCGGACATGAATCCACCGCTGTCACCTTCCTCCTCTCCTCTTCCTCCTTCTCCTCTCCTCTCCTCTCCTCCTCCCGCCGCTCCCAACGTTGCCTTCAGAGGAGGAGGAGTTGCAATTTTCCATTTAAAAGCACCGATCCCTGATAACGGCACAGCGGGGGGGATGCGGGGAACCGTCCGGACCGGGGGTCGGGGGGCACCACTGCGCGGGACGGGGTTGGAGCCCCGGTGCCTTCATCCCGCGGGAGGCGGGGGGTGGGCAGGGAGGAACCCCATGGCGCGCTGTGGGGTCTCTGTGACACCGGCCGTCCTCTCATCCCACAGTGCGGCGCCTGCCGGACCCCCCCCGGGGAGAGCGGGACCCCCAAGGGGGGCAGGAACCACCCAGAGGACACCGGGACCCCCACGGAGAGCCGGATCCCGACGGCGACCAGCACTCCCACGGGCAGCGAGACCCCGAAGGTCAGCGGGACCCCCGCGGACGCCGGGACCCCCCCGGGCCGTACCGTTACCTCCTGCTGGTGCCGCGCACCGGAGCTCTCCGCCAGAGGCCGCAGGTGCTGCGGGCACGGCTGCCGCTCCCCCCGCACTCAGCACCGCTCCGGGTCAGCATTTACACCCCCGGGGGGTCCGGCGGGGCCCCGCGTCTGCTGCAAGGCCGGGATTTGGACCCCCGCTCCCTCCACCTGGACCTGACGTCGCTCATCCGGCACTGGGCCGCCGGGAGCAGCGCCGCGCTGCGCTTGGAGTTGACCTTCAGCTCCGACGCGTCGGCTCCGTGGGACGGCACCGGAACCGGGAACGCGGTTCTGGAAGTGGAAACGTGGGACGGGGAGGGGCGGGGAGCGAGGAGACGGCGGGGGCTGGAGGAGGAGTGCGGGAAGAGCGAGGGGAAATGCTGCCGGCGGGTGCTGAAGGTGTCCTTCCAGGAGATCGGGTGGGACGACTGGGTGCTGGCGCCGCGCAGCTACGACATGCGCTTCTGCCAGGGCTCCTGCCCGCACAACTACCGCGCCGCCAGCATGCATGCGCAGATCCAGGCCCGCGTGCACGCCCTGAGCCGCGCTGCCCCGGCGCCCTGCTGTGTGCCGGCTGCCTACGACCCCATGGTGCTGATGCACTACGATGGAGAGGGCAGGTTGGTCAGCTCTGTCTTCGAGGATATGTTGGTCACTCGCTGTCACTGCGCCTGAGGGCGCCGCTGGGTGGAGGGGTGCCCACCTCCATCTGGAGGGACCTGTCACCCCTGGGTGCGGGGAGCAGCGCTGCTGGGTGTAGGGATCTGCCAGATGTGGACGTCGGGTTCCGTCACCCCCATCAAAGGGTTCCGTTACGTCTGGATGTGGGCCTCCATCAGCTCTGGGTCTGGGGATCCGTCGCCTCCAGACACAGGAATCCCTCGCCTTCGCCTAAAGGAATCCATCGTTGCAAACAGGGACTGGCAGCTCTGTTGCAGGGCTCCATCCCCTCCGGATGTAGGAACTCGTCATCTCTGTCTATATGGACCCAGCACCTCCACCTGCAGGGACCCCTCGCCTCCCGATGCTGATGTCTGACCTCCTGCTGCAGGGCCCCCACCCCATCCTGGTGGCACCGACCCCAGGGCCGCAGACCCCACTGCCATCACTCCACGCCGTAACTTATTCCCCTCTCCCCTTATTTAAAGCATTGGTTCAGCAGGAGGAGCCCCCCACCCCCACCCCCCCCCGGCTCCTCTGAGCCTTTTTTATACAGTCCTTTATTTATTGCTCGTTATTTATTGCACTGTACGCCTTTGTTGGGATTCTTTTTTTTTTTTGGTATATTTATATATTTCTATGAATCCAATCGCGATGTAAATGAATAAAGTGATGGGAACACGGCGCCAGCAGCTCGGCCCCACGCGGCCACGTCCCCCCCCAGCCCCCAATCCGTCACCCATGGGTGAGTCATGTGTGGGCTGCGCTCCAGCAGCACTTTGCCCCCGTTGTGGCCTTGGGGCGGGCGCTGGGAAGCCCTGACCGCATCGGGGATGTGGCACCCATTTACTGGTACCCACAGCCAGGGGATGGGGGCAGGGGGACGGGGACATGAGGACATGAGATATGGGGACGGGGACATGAGGACATGAGATATGGGGACGGGGGGCATGAGACATAGGGATATGGGACATGGGGGACAGGGGGATGGGGACATGAGACATGAGGCTGTGACATATGAGAATATGGGATGGGGGACATGGGATGGGGGTGGGGATGTGAGGTACAGAGACACGGGGACGTGGGGATGTGGGACATGGAGATACTGGGACATGGGGACTTGGAGGTGGCACCCATGGGGAAGAGGGACATGTGGGAACACGGGGACATTGAGATACGGAACATGGGGACATGGGGATGGGGGACAGGAGGAGTTCCAGCCTGGGGTTATGGGCTCTGGGGACCACAGCTCAATGGATGTGGGACGTGGGGTCACCATGATGGGGACGTGGCCTTAAGGGACTGGGAAATAGGAACCTGCCAGTGTGGGACCCGTATTGTTGGCACCTCTGCTCTGGGAACGGGACCCCCAGCACCCCACACAGCCCCTGGGGGGTTCCAGCAGACCGTGAGTCCCACGGGTCACTGAGGACAGCCCAACATTTAATGTCACCGTGGAGAATCACAAGGACCCGTGCGAGGCTGGGACACGGGGTGCCCCCATGTCACCACCCACCTCGCAGCCACACACTGCCAGCAGCGTCCAAAAACGGCATTTTTTGTCCCAGGCCGTCGGATTTCACAGAGGGCAGCATTTGGGGCCGTCGGTCCCGGCGTCACGCGGAGCTCCGGAGCGACGTGCAGGGATCGCCGCGTCCCGCCGCCCCGTCCCCATTTCGCAGCGCAAACCCCAAGGAGAAGCGGCCGCTTCCTCCCTCCGCCCCGCGCAGGAAACGGCGGCGCAGCCGTTTTGCTCTCATTGCAAAAAAGAAAACCAACAGAAAAAAAAAAAAAAGAGGAAAATCCCCTCCGCCGTCCCAGCGCTGCAGAATCCCCCGGGGCGCTGCCCTCACGGGTCGGGGCTGACATAGATGTCCTCTCCGGGGGTCCCGGTGTTGGCGTAGATGGGCTGCTCCCCTGCGCCGCTCTCCAGGAAATAGAGATCGTCCGGCGGCGCCTGGGGGCTGTGGGGAGGGGGTCAGTGGGGCAGCGCCCCGTGGAGATGGGAACGGACCCCCGGGTGGATGAATGGGGAGGAAAGGGCCCCACGGGTGTCTGATCCCTGGGTTTGGTGGGATGGGGTGGGATGGGTTGGGTTGAAATGGGATGGGGATGGGATTGAGTGGGATGGGATGAGGATGCAATAGATTGGGTTGAGATGGAGTAGGATGGGATGGATGGGTTGAGATGGGATGGGATGGGGACGGACTGCGGATGGGATGGAGATGAGGATGAGATGGAGTGGGATGAATGGCTGATGTGGGATGGGATGGATGGGATGGATGGGATGGGATGGGATGGGATGGGATGGGATGGGATGGGATGGGATGGGATGGGATGGGATGGGATGGGATGGGGTGGGATGGGGTGGGATGGGGTGGGATGAAGTGAGACAGGACGGCCCAATGCAGCCCATCAGGAGGGTCCCACGTACCCCCACAGCCCCCCCTCTCTGCAGACTCACCTGTACCCCTCCTGCTGCCATCCACGCTCTCCATCCTGCACCGGGGCTGCGCCGGGGGCCGCGTAGGAGCCGACGAAGACGTTCTCGTAATCGGGAGCCAGGCGCACCCCCACGGCAGCAGAGCTGCTCTCTGCCTCACGGCTGACATAGCGGGGCTGCCCATGGGCTGCAGGGGGCTCCCGCTTCCCCCACCCCGCAGCGCCCGCCGTCCTCCGGCACCGCCACACCACCACCCCCAGCGCCACCCCTACCGCCCCCAGCCCCACCGCCACCCCCACCGCCACCGCCGCCACGCCGCCGCCCGCGGCCGCATCCACCATCCCCACGGCGTCCCGACATTCCCGTGCGTGGAAATCGGAGGCGTTGACGGGGCCTTGGGGCGCAGCGCAGAGGCAATCGGCACCGGAGCACGAGTCCGGCGCTTTGCCCACCGCATCGCAGCGGCACGGCGGCAGCGAGGGCTGCGAGGTGGTTGCCCCGATGCCGTGGGGAAGCAGCATCAGGAGCAGCAGCATCGCTATGGGGCGCCCCATGGCTCCGCCTGGGAGGAAAGAGGGGGTCAGAGGAACAGAGCCCACAGCCCCTTCCTTCGTGGCCGGGGTCCCCGTGGCTGCGTTTGCCCCCCACCCAACCCAGCACCCCGACTCGCCTGCAGCCGGCTGCTGTGCTCAGAAAGAGGAACGGGCGGTCCCTGTGGGTCCGTGTCACTGCGTGGGGCGTAACCGGGCCTGGGGGGGTCACTGCTGCTGCTCATCCACTCGCAAATGTTCCTTCCATCTGGGGTGCACAGGCACAGCAATGCCCCTGTGCTGGGGCTCTGGCACTGTATGGCGGGGGGGGGGGGGCAGGAGGGCGTGTGGGGTTGGGCGTGGGGGGCACAGTGAATGGGGGGCACAGTGAATGGGGGGCACGGTGCAGGGTGGTGCCAGCGCCAGGGGTTGGGGTGGGGGGTCCCAGGTGAGCGCCCACCTCCACTGCACGGCCTCACGTGCCTCCATGGTGGAGCGCGGGGGGACGAGGACCTTTAGTCTGGGTGAGATGTCACAGCGTGGGCCGGGCCATGCGACACCGTGACACCGAGCCCACGGGGTCCGAAACGGGGGCGGCAACAGGGTCCTCAGCTCAGGTCGCACCGGGAATCCCCCTCGGTCCCGGGTTGGGATCAGAGCTGGGATCAGAGCCGCCGTGGCAGAGAGGACAGAACGGCGCTCATGGCAGCTCCGCCGGGCTGCGGGCGGCCCCGCAAAGCCCCACCGCCACGCGCGTCCGCGGGGGTCGCGGCTCAGCGCTCGGGCACGGCTGACACCTGCAGGCCGACGGGGGAAGCGCCGCGCACGCAGCCGCCCGAACGCACGGCCTCGTGCACACGCGGCCCCCCCGCGTGCCCACCGCAAACACGCGTGTCGCGCTCGCGGCTGTTCCGAGCTCCCCGCTCCCCGCCGTGCCGCGTCCTTCCCTGCTCTCCCCCCGCCCTTCCCTCCCTGCCCGCCCTTCTCCATCCATCTCTCAGCGTCTGTCCCTTCGTGGCCGTGCCCCCCCGCGTCTTCCCTGCCTCGTGTCCGTCACCACGCGTGTCCACCCTTTTCTGTCGCTCTGTGTCCTTCCCCTCGTGTCCGTGTCCTTCTGCACCCCTTCGTGCCCACCTCCCTCCCGCCCCCCCCTTCGTATCTCTTTCTTCACCCACGCGCGTACGCGACCGATCGCTTCCCCCTCCTCCCATCCGCGTCTCCGCGTCACTTCACGCCCACCACCCCTTGTGGACCCCCCCTCCCTTAACCTTCCGCCATCGCCCTTTTAAGAGCGGCCGCGCGGGCGGAGGAGGAGCAGCGCCGGGACGGAGGGGTGGGGGGGGCGGCGTTGCTGGAACAGCCGCGCGCGCGGGGGGAGGGAGCGGCGGCGGCGGCGTTGCGGGGACCCCCGGCCCCGCGCGGCGGTTTCAAGGTCCCCCGGGCCGGGCCGGGCCGAGGCGCAGCGCGGGGCCGGGATGGCGGCGGGGCGCCGCCGGTGACAGCGGGGCCGTGCAGGATGTACGGCAAGGGCAAGGGCTGCGGCGTGCCGTCCGACGGGCAGGCCCGCGAGAAGTGAGTGCCCGGGGCGGGGGGGGGAGAGGGAGGAACGGACGGACGGACGGACGGAGCGACGCGCGGAAGTTTTCGCGGGGGTTTCCGCCGCGGGAATCGGGGCCGGCGGCGGCGCGGCGGGGATGGGAGAACCGCGCTCCGCACCGCTCCGCACCGCTCCGCCGCGGGGCTGCGGGGCTGCGCGACCCCCGACGGATCCCCGGAGCCGCTGAGCGCGGCGTCCCTCCGGTGTCCCCGCGCGGTTCCCGCGGTGTCCCCGCGTCGTCCCCCCTCGGGGTCGCGGTGTCACGCGGGCGGCGACGCTCCGAACGCGGTTCCGCCCCGCAGCGCCGTGTCACCCGCGGGCGGCCGGTCCCGGTGCGGTGTCAGCCGGCTGCGGGGCTGGCGGCGCTCACCGGGCCGAGCCGCGCACGTGGCCGCGTCCGCCGGCAGCGCCGTTCCCGTCGCGGTGTCCCCGCACCGCCCCGCCGCCGTCCCGGTGTCACCGCGCCGCCCCGTCCCGCCCTGCAGGTTGGCGCTGTACGTCTATGAGTACCTCCTGCACGTGGGAGCCCAGAAATCCGCGCAGACGTTCCTGTCCGAGGTGAGAGCCGTGTTTTATGGGGGGGGTCGCACCGTGTGTCACACCGGCCCCCAGCGCGTCCCCCTCCTCCCCCCTGCCGGTGCCGCACGGCTCTGACCGGCTCCACGCGTCCCTCTGTGCCCCGCAGATCCGATGGGAGAAGAACATCACGCTGGGAGAACCGCCGGGCTTCCTGCACTCCTGGTGGTGGTGAGTAGGGATGGGGGGTCCCCCGAGTTGCCCCCCGGGGCCCCCTGCAACCGCTGCTCTGCTTTTCCTATCATCCCCCCCCCCCCCCCCCTCCCCCCCAAACTCGGCCCCACTGCTCAGCCCCACAGCTGGATCCAATTTGGCCGTCCCCAAAGGGCACAAAGCCCCACACTGGGGGGGGGGGGGTCCTGCATACTCTGTCCACCTCCCCCCCCCCCCAACTTCGGGTGCTCAGGAGCTGCCCCACAGCTGCTTCCTGTAACCTGCTGATGAGGGGGGCTCAGCCCCATCACCCCCTGCTGCCCCACAGCACCCCCACACCGCTCTGCCCCATTCTGCCCCACATCCCTGTCACCTCGCCAGGGAGGAGGGTGGCTTTGGGGCCACCCCACCCCACCCCATCCCATCCCATCCCATCCCATCCTGGGATGTGCTTTCTGATGTCAGGGCCCAGGAATTTGGGCTGCAGTGCATAGCGACCGTCTCCAGGCAAACACTGCAGCAGGGGGGGGGCAGGACCCCCCCACCCCATCCACCCCACAGCGGTGCTATGAACACAGCCCCGTGCCCCCCCCTGCCCCACATCCACTCCTCATTACTGCCTCAACTGCGGTCGGGCTCAGCCTCCCCTCCCCCCCCCCCATAGCCCTGGGATGGGGCTGACAGCTCTATGGGGGGACCTGGGCACAGCGGGGGGGGGTCCTGACGCTTCGTGTCCCCCCCTGCAGCGTCTTCTGGGACCTCTACTGTGCAGCCCCCGACCGCCGTGAGACGTGCGAGCACTCGAGTGAGGCCAAAGCCTTCCATGACTACGTGAGTATGGGGGGGCAGACCCTGTGCCCCCCCCCAAACACCTCCCTGAGGACGTGGGGACGCGGCGACGCGGCACGCTGGGGGTTAAGTGCAGCGCCAGCCCCCACCTCCCTGCACAGCGCTGACCTATTTTGCACAGCACCAGGAGGGGTAATCCCAGGGGCCGGGCTGTGACCCCCCCGGAACCCCCCCAGTGCCACCCTGTGCCCCGCGGGGCGCCCGGCTCCGGCTGGCGTTGATGGGGATGAGGACAGGGGGATGTGCGTGGATATGGGGGAGGGATTTGGGGGCACTGAGATGCATAGGGACAGCTGGAGAGTCGTCGTCCCCCCCCCCTCCCCGCACCAACCCATGAGCTGCCAGCAGACGTGCTCTGTACCCAGTGCTGGGCACGGTGACCTCAATGGGCCCCCAGGGTTTGTCGTCCCCCTCCCCCCTTTGCTCTGTGTTGGTAGGGGGGGCAGGACCCCCCCAGGACTGCATGGGATGGAGGGGGGGAGGAGGGTTTGTGGTGCTGGAGGTGCCATGGGATGCAGGATGCTGTGGTACCCACAGGGATGGCAGTGGGGGTGGGATGCTGTGGGATGCAGAGCTGTGCTGTGGGGCTGGGGTACCCCAAATCCTGCACGTGGTGTGGGGGGCACACCGGGGTGGGGGGGATGAAGCAGGATGCCTTGGGTTGGGGGGTGGGGGGGTTGCGGAGTCTGTGCTGCTGGGGGTGCTGTGTGTCCTGCTGTGGGATGCAGGGCTTGTGCTGCTCCAGGATGCTCCCCCCCCCCCCATTTCCCTGTGCCTCCCAGTGCTCTGTGCTGCTCAGCACCCCCCCCCCAGCACCCATCACTGCCACCCCCCCCTCCCCAGGCTCACAGCGCGGGGGCTTTTGGGGCTGCAGCACAGTGCCCCCCCCCCCCCCCCCCCATCCCTGCCGCCCCCGGCCCCGCTGCACGGCGCTGATTGCCATGCTGGAATTAATGAGGCTGGCGGTGCAGGTCAGGGCCCGTTGCCATGGCACTGCTCACAGATGCAGCCTGGGCACTGGGGACCGGGATGGGGGGGGGGGGGCCTGTAGGGCTGAGACCCCCCCCGACAATGGGGAGCAGCGCCTGGGGGGGGGGGGGCTGGCATCCCTCAGTGCCCAGAGGTTGGATGGGGGCTTCCCAGCACTGTGGCACCGTGCAGGATTTCTGTGCCCTTCCTGGGGGGGCCGCTTGGATGTGTGCCCCCCCACTGGAGTGTGCACAGCCCCCCCCATTGAGCACACACTGTTGATGGCACCGTGGGGACGGTGACCCCATATCACCGCGGGGACAACAGAGCTTGGGGGTCTGCTCTTTATGCTGGGGGGGGGTTTGTGGGGGGCAGCAGCAATCGGGGCCCCCAGCCCAGCTCAGGTCCTGCTGCCCCCCCATTTGTGGGCCCCTCCCCCCCCCCATTCCCTCCCTCCTGACCTTGCTGCTGCAGGAGGAGCTGAAACTCCCCAACCTGTTGCCATGGCAACTCCTGCTTTGCATCACTGGGCTGGGAGCGCAGCGGGGTTGGGGGGGCTGGGGGGGGCCCACCTCGGAGTGGGGCTGGGGGGGAGGTCAGCACCATCCCCAGTGCAGGGCAGAGGTCGAGCACTGACCCCCGTGGCCATGGGCACGGCACCCCGAGATGTGGGGGCATCCACATGGGGGGGGGGGGCAGTGCGGACTCCCATCCCAGGAGGGACAGAGATCGTGTGTCCCCCCCCCCACCAACAGGCTGAGAGCTGCCAAACTGGCCCTGCTGCCATAGGAAGCTGCTCCACCTCGGCTTCCTCAGTGGGGCTGCACGGTGGGTGCGGTGCTGGGCTCCTGGATGGGTGCCGGGGTGCACAGCGATGGGTGCAGCGCCGTGGCCGGTTGAGGGACGGCATCGCGGTGAGCTCCGGGATGGGGGCACCGTGGTTGGATCGTGTGGGGCACCCGAAGGGCTGCACTGCGGAGGGGGGGCTTCTGGCCGGGTGCTGCGATGGACGCCACGCCGGGCTCTGCCACGGAGCCCCGCTGGCTGCCACAAAGGGAGCCGCGCTGGACCCCGCTGCGATGGGCGCCGCTTCTCCGTCCTCCACCCCTGAGCACCAGCCGGACCCCCGCCCCACATTCGCTCCTCACCCCGCACCTCCGTCACCTCCACCCAGCGGAGGGCACCGGGCCGGGGGGCGGTGGGGGCCGAGGGGTTAACGGGAGGAATGCGCGGGGCTGCGGCGCTGGGGGGGCCGTGAGGGGGGGGGGGGGGGGGCCGTGGGGTGCCGGGCTGCCTGGCCTCCGGCGCTGTTGGTTTTGGCTGCCTGCACAGACTCTCCATTGTCTTGCAAATGATTTGTGCATGGCTGTAAAGTGAGTTCAGCTGGGCCCGGCCCCGATCCCGCGGCTGATAAATGAGGTGGGGGCCCCCGCAGCCCCCAGCACCCGCGGCCCTGGTGCGCGCCCGCGCCGTGGGGCAGAGAAGCCCCGATCGCCCCCCTGACCCACAGCGGGATCGCGCAGACGGCGCGGCCGGAGCGCGGCGTGGATGCGCGCGGTGGGAGCCGCATCCTCGGCGGTGCAGCCCGGCTGTGAGCCGCGGTCCCGGCGCCGCCCCTGTGCCAGCTGTGACCCGCGGTGGCTGTGCGCTCAGGGCTGTCCCCGTGCTGGGACGTGGCCCCCCCTCCCCGCGGTGCCCCGTCGCTGTGCCCTCAGCCCCCTCCGCTCGACGGGGTTCCCCCCCAGGCGGTGGCGCCCCATGCTGGTCCCCCCCCCCCCCCCTTTTCCCCTCCGTCCCCCCGCAGGAGGGGCAGCGCCACCCCCCCCCCCCCCTTCCCCCTCCTCCTCTCCAAATTGAATCCAGTTGTGGCAGAGACAGCGCAGGGCCGAGCGGAAAAGCAGCGCATTCCTCCCTGCTTAACAGCTCCCCCCGGAGCGGGGCTGGCAGGCGAGAGGGGCCGGGCCCCCCTGCAGTCCCCCCTGCAGCCCCACCGACCCCCCCAACCCCCCCCCCCCAGCTCCACTGCAGCCCACGGGTGGGCATCGCCCCGGTTCTCCCCGCGCTGCCCTGTCGCTCGCACGCTGACCCCAAAGCCCCGGCCGTGGTTGGGGACGCGGGGGGGGGGAGGCATGGGGTGGCTGTGGGCTTGGTGACAGATGGGACGGTGCCCCAAGAGCTGACGGGGGGCGCGATGGCGGTGCCCCCACAGCGGCCCCCAGTGCCGCAGGTGGGCACAGAGCCGCTCCCTGCCGTGGGGGGGAGCTGCCGACCCTTTGCTCAGCTCTCCTTCCCCCGCAGAGCGCAGCGGCGGCGCCCAGCCCGGTGATGGGGAGCCTTCCCCCCAGCGACGGCATGGCGGGGGGGCCCATGCCTCCCGGCTTCTTCCAGGTACCCTGGGGGGATGGAGGGGAGGAGGGACGGCTGCTATGGGGGAACTGCTGGGGCTGCAGTGTGTGTGTGTGCAGCTGGGGGCGGGCCGGGGACCCCACATCTGGGGGGTGCACTGGGTGATGCCCCCAGCCCCTGCCTCCCCCTCCTCCCCACCCCCAACTCTGTTTCTCCCGAAGGCACCGCCGGGTTCGCAGCCGTCGCCGCACGCTCAGCCTCCCCCCCACGCCCCCACCGCCCCCATGATGGGGCCGCACCCCCAGGTAAGGCTGCCTGTCCCCCCGGCCCCCCCTCCCCACATCCCCCCCCTCCTCTCACGGCTCCCCTTCCTCTCTTGCAGCCCTTCATGTCCCCCCGGTACCCCGGCGGCCCCCGCCCTGCACTGCGGATGAACCAGGTGAGGTTCCACCCCCCCCCACCCCCCACCCCCCTGCAGCCAGACCCCAATGGGGCGCAGAGCTCCACCGGGGGTCCCGCTGTGCCCTGACCCCCCCCTGCCCCCAATTCCCCTGCAGCCACCTGTGGGTGTCCCCGGCTCTCAGCCGCTGCTGCCCAACGCCATGGACCCGGCCGCGCGGGCACAGGGTGAGTGGGGGTCCCGTCCCCGGTGCTGTGGGGGGGTCAGCACACTCACACTCCCCCCCCCCCCCCCCTTCCTCTGCGCAGGGCATCCGAACATGGGGGGCCCAATGCAGCGCATGAACCCCCCCCGAGGCATGGGTGGAATGGCACCGCAGGTGAGGGGGTGGGGATGGGGGGGCAGACGGGACGGGGAGGTGAGGGGTTGTGGGGGGAGATGGAGATGGGGGACACGGGTGGGAAAGGGGATGGGAATGGAACGGGAACAGGGAGAGGGAGAGCTGAGTGTGGGTAGTGCTAGGGATGGGGATGGGAGGCAGAGAGGGGATGGGGAATGGGATGGGGACAGGGAAAGTGGGGGGGCTGTGGGCAGACAGGGTTGGGGGTGAGGATTTGGGTGGGGATGGGGAGAGATGGGGAGGGGGGAGCTGGGGGGCGGGGAGAAGAAAGGGATGGGTTTGTGTGCAGATGGGAAAAGGCTGAGGAGCTGCTGTATTTGGGGACTGAAATGGGGGTGGGGACAGGAATGGGGCTGGGACCGGGAGGGGGGTGGATTTGTGGGTGGGCTGGGGGGGGGTCTCAGCCTCCACTCACCCCATTTCCCCCCAGACCTACGGCAGTGGGATGCGCCCCCCCCCCAGCTCGCTGGCCGGCCCCGGCATGCCCACCATGAACATGTAAGGGACCGGGGGGGGCACGGGGGGGGGGAGGGCACGGGGACAGCAGCACCAGAGCCCCCCACATCCCCTCCCTCACCTCCAACCATTCCCTTCCAGGGGTCCCGGCGGCCGCGGGCCGTGGCCAAACCCCAGTGCCAACTCTGTAAGTATGGGGGGGGGGCCTTGATTGGGGGGGGTGGGGGGGACAATGAGGGGGGGCTGCACGCCCAATGCTGACCCCTCCTTTTGCCCCTCCTGCCCCCTAGATCGCCTACTCCTCCTCATCCCCCGGGAACTACGTGGTGAGTATGGGGGAGGCACGGGGGGGGGCTGTGCTGTCAGTGATCCCGTGTGCCCCCCCCCGACCTCCATCTCCTCTTTGTCCCCCCAGGGTCCTCCCGGTGGCGGCGGCCCCCCCGGCACCCCCATCATGCCCAGCCCTGGTGGTGAGTGGCCCCCCCCCCTGCTGTGTGCCCGGGGTGGGGGGGAGGTGTTGTTTTTGGGGGGGGGGGGGGGGGGGAGGTTTATTCGTGCCCCCCTCCCACTTCTCGTGCTTCCCACAGATTCCACCAACTCCAGTGAGAACATGTACACCATGATGAACCCCATCGGGCCGGCGGGGACCCGGCCAAATGTGAGCCTGGTGATGGGGGGCCGCGGGGGGGTCCCCAGCCCACCTCCCTTCGCTCACTCCGTCTTTGTTTGCAGTTCCCAATGGGGCCGGGGCCGGAGGGGCCCATGAGCGGGATGAGCGCCATGGAGCCCCATCACATGAACGGATCCTTAGGTGGGTGCCCCCCCCCGCCCCAAATCCATGCTCCCTCCCTCCCCCCAGCCCCCCAAGCAAGGTGTTCCCCCCCCATTCATACTCCCCCTCCCCTCCATCTCCCCGCTGGGGCCGGCGCTGCTGCAGCCCAGCAATGTGCCTCGTCCTGCAGTCCGTGAGCTCCATCTGCGGGCTGCCAGGCGCCGCGCAGGGATGTGGGACGGCTGGGTTGGCGGGGGGGGGAGGGATGGAAGGAGGGGGGGGGGGGGACGACAGAGGGGCTGGGGGGCCGCTGACAGCACTGCCGTCGTTTTGCAGGCTCTGGGGACATGGATGGGCTGCCCAAGGTGAGTGTGCAGCCCCCGTGTGCCGGGACCCCCCCCCCCCTCCCCACCTACAAACCCGGATTCCTCCCAGCCATCGGCACTCCCGCCTCCCCCCCCCCCAGCCATGGATAAGGAGTCCTGTGAACCAGGACCCCCTCCCCGCCCCGTGCACTGGAGCCCCCCGTGCACCAGCACCCCTGCGCACAAGGGGAGGTCGTGCACTGAGACCCTCACGTGTGGGAGCCCCACAGATTGACCCCCCCCCCCCCGAATGCACAGAGCCCCCAGCATGCACTGAGAGCCCCCCCATCCACGGGGCACAGCACATCGCCCCCCTCCGTACCCCAAGACCCCTCCCCCCCACACCCTCCCCACCACAACCCCCACTCCATACCTCAGGACCACCCTCCCTCTAAGTCTTTTCCTCCCCCCCCCCCCCCAAATTTTGCAGAGCTCTCCCAGTAACATGGCGGGGCTGAACAACCCCCCCGGCACCCCGCGGGACGACGCCGAGATGGGCACCAATTTCTTAAACCCCTTCCAAAGCGACAGCGTAAGGGAGCCGACGGTCACCTCCGGGGGCGCCCGGGGGGGCAAACGGAGAGGGCGGGGATCGCGGGGGGGTCGGGGCTGCCGGGGGGGACGGGCAGCCTGCAGAGCTCCGGCCGACCCGTGGCGGCCCCCCCCGGTGCCGGAGGGGGTCCGGCCGTGGCAAAGCATCCCGGAGGTGTGAGGATGGCCCCCTCCCCACCCCCCCCCCGGTTGCTGTGCGCCCCCCCCCCCGGCCCGCTAACCCTCTGGTGTCTCCGCTCTTTCTAGTACTCGCCCAGCATGACAATGAGCGTGTGAGCCCAGCGCCGAAGCCGGCCGAGAACCCGACGCCCCCCCGCGGTGCCAAAAAAAAAAAAAAAATAATAATAATAATTAATTTTTCTGTATTTAATAACCAACCCCCCCCCCCCAACCGCGCCACCAACCGCAAACCCCCCCTGCAAAAAAAAAAAAAAAGGAAAAAAATCATTTCTCCCCCCCCCCCCCCCCCCCCCCCCCGTTTCTTCCCCCCTTCTTAAAAAACACTAAAAGGAAAAAAAAAAATCAGAATCTCATCGCCGTGTGAAAACCACGGCTGCGACCCCCCCCCCCCGCTGCCGGACCCCCCCCCCCCCCCCGGTGGCACAGGGCAGGAGGGAGCCCAAAGGAGGGGGGGGGGGGGTAGGGGAGCTGCTTCCTGTCCTGTGCTTCCCCCCCCATTCTGCCGCACAGCGCTGGGGGGGGGGGGGGAGGAGGGGAAGTATTTATTTGGGGGGGGGTCGCAGTTTGCTCCCCTCCCCCCCCCCCCCCCAAAAAAAAAAACCCCAACCAAACAGCGGCTGCTGCCTGTTGCAATGAGCTGTGGAGAGACGCCCCCCCCCCCCCCACCAGCACTGCAAGGGCAGAAACTCCCCCCCCCCAGTCACATGAAGAGGGGGGGGGCAGCCACATTGCATCCCTGCTGAAGCCCCAGCGTGGGGATGGGGGGGGGGGGGGGCACACAGCCAGCACAGCCCCCCCTGCACCCCCAGCGGCTTCCTGCCAGGCTGAGCGGAGCTGGGGGGGCCAAGCCATACCTCCCTGCAGCCCCCCCAGCTCTAAGGGCAGCTCCGGGGCACAGAGCAGCCCCCCCCCCTCCCCCCCCCCCCCCCCTCCCCAGCCCCGTCTGTGTGCTCAGCCAGCACTGTGATCTTCCTGCCCACCCCCCCCCGACCCGAGCACCAGACCGGGGCCCCCCCCACCATCCCCCCCCCCCCCCCCCCCCCAGGGACCACTTTTAAAAAAAGAAACTTTAATATGAAGGATTTGGGGTTTTTTTGGGTTGTTTCTTTTTTTCTCTCCTCCTTTTCCTTCTCTTTTGTATCAGAAAGGACCTCAGCCTCCCCCCCCCAACTTTTATCACCCCCCCCATCCTTTACCGCGCGCCCCGGCCCCCCCCTGTTACAGCCTGGAGCAGCCGGGACCCCCCTGCCCCCCCCCCCCCCCCCCCCGTAGTCGTTCTGTGTAGGAGGGCGCCCCCCTCTTTCTTAGCCCCGAGTCTTTAGAGCGAGCCTTGCTTATGGAAACAAAACCCGGGGGGGGGGATGGGAAGGAAAAAAAAAAAGAAAGAAAAAAAAAATAAAAAAAAAGAGGAAAAAAAAGAAAAGAAAAAAAAAAAAAAGAAAAAGGGGTTTTTCCCCCCCTCCCCCCCCGAAAAAAAAAAAAAATGAAAATGACAAAAAAAAAGAAAAAAGAGCAAAGCAACCGACCGACCCTGCATCAATAAATGTAATTTGATTTTTTTCAGAAGGCGCCGTTTGGTTTTGGGGGGGTCGGAGGGGGGGGGGGGGGGGGCGGCAGGAAGAGGGGAGTGGGGGGGGATGGGGGGGGTTTATTGTGGTACAAAGCTTCACAGTGTCACGTTGGCATGGAGCCGGGGGGGACCCAAATCACACCCCCCCCCACCCCCCAAGTAGCTCAAATACAAAAGGTGGGGGGGGGGGGGCAGAGTGGGGAGACCCCCCCCCCCCCCCTCCCCGTACAGCAGAGACCCCCACCGTGCTGCCGGTGGGGGGAGGGGGGTGGTGCGCGGCCCCGGGGCTGGGCGTTATTCGGTGCCGTCGATGTGGAGGGGGGGGCGGGGGGTGCCGGGGTGGCCGTTGAGCTGGGCGGGGGGGGCGGCCTTCTTAGGGCTGATGGGGCACGCAGCCCCCGCCGGGCAGCAGCGCTTGGGGCCGAGCGGCGGCCGCTGCATCTTGTGCTCCAACAGCATGTGGTTCTGGGGGGGCAGCCCCAGGCAGGCCCTAGAGAGGGGAGAGGGAGGTGGCGGGGGGGGGGCACCGACATCCCCCCAAATGGGGCGAATAGCAGAGCACTGTAGGGTTGACCCCCCCCTTATGTCAGGTAATGGGACCCACCTGGGCACCTCTGCACTGGGGATGGAGACCCCCGCATCCCTGCATCCCCCCCCCCCCGGGCCCCCCCACAGCCCCCCTTTTCCCCCCCCCCCTCCTTCAGGACCCCCCCGCGGGTACCTCAGGATGTTCTCAATGCAGCTGCGCTGACGGAAGAGCGCGTTGACGACGGGGGTCCCGTCGGGCACCAGGGGGGCTTTGCAGAGGAAGGCGACGATGGAGAGGACGCTGTGGAAGCTCTGGAACTCGGGGTCGCTGTCGGTGCAGAAGGTGATGCGCTGGCAAAGCTCGGTCAGGATGGCCAAGTCCAGGATGATGGGGCTGGCCAGCAATGAGTCCTGAGGGTGGGGGAAGAGCAGGGGGGGGTCACAGTGAGCCTGGTGTAGGGCTGCACCCCACATCCCCCCCCTCCCCACAGCCCCGCACCTCACACGTGTTGTGGATGACGATGGTGTTGGTGCCTCCCATCATGATCTCCGAGGTGTATTCGTCCAGCGCTCGCTTGCTGTCCCCCACGTAGGGCACGTATTTGATCACCACCTGCACAGGGACCCCCGTCAGCACCCGGCCCCCCCTGCAGACCCCCCCTTCTGCGCCCCCCCTTCCCCCCAGAGCTCACTCACGCAGTGGTCGGGTTTGTCCTGCGGGCCGTACAGCACCGGGTTGGCCTGCACTGTGTCATCCACCACGTTGCTCTTGGAAATCTCCTTGGAGCGGAACTGCTGCGGCGCTGAGAGGTTCTTCCCATCGTTGTTCCCCAGGTGGTTGTAGCTGACGATGGACCTGGGCTGGGGTTGGGGGGGGGGGCAAAGGGTACAACAGGGAACCGTGCAACCATCGAGTCGGATCAGTGGTGGACAGGTCAACCCGGCTCCACGTCCCAACGCACCTTCAGCCCGGCGCCCACCAGGAAATCCACCAGCACCGACTTCAGCTTCGTCTGCCCCGATTTGAAGTCGTCCCCGCAGATGAAGACGCGGCGCTGAGCTGCCAACTCCACGGCGCCCGGCACGAAGGTGTTCTGGGGCGACCCGTTGATGTAGGCGCAGCCCTCCAGGATGCTGGCCACGGCGAACAGCGTGGATGGGGACACCTCCAGGCCTCGCTGCGGGGACACTGAGGGCTCAGCACTGCGGCACAGCCCCTCCACGTCCCCCACTCCCCCTTCCCCTCACCTCGATGGCCCGCAGCAGGTTGTCGGCGCTGTCGTTCAGCCCTGGCACCACATCGCAGAAGCGCTCGGTGTTGGCCGTCCACAGCACGATGACTTTGTCCACCCCGCTGCTCGCCCTGAACTCCCGGATGTCCCTGCGGATCTGCTCCACCTGCAGGGATGGGGACGCAGACAGGTCATCGTGGCGTCCCCCCCGCCGCCCCCGTGTGCCCCCACCCCCCCACCCCCAGCACCTGCTCAGCCTTGGAGCCCCGCAGCACGTTGTCCGCCCGCTCCTCCTGGTTGGCGGCGATGAACTCGGGGATGTAGATGGAAGGTCGGGGCTTCATCTGCTCCATGTGCGGCCACAGCTGCTCCTGCAGCGCCCAGTCCAGCACCTCGGCGCGCCGCATGGCCTCGGCCAGGTTCAGAGAGGAGATGTCCCACCCTGCGGGATGGGGTCACACTCAGTGCGCGGCCCCCTCCCCCCCGCCCACCCCAGCACCCTTCCTACCATCAAAGACGATGTCGTTGGGGTGCACCATGGGCAGCAGATCCCGGAATGGCACGTAGACATCACCGGCGGGGCCGGCACCCAGGCATACGGTGGAGGCCTGCAGCAGCGAGCCGTAGTAGTTGGCTTTCTAGAGGTGGGGGGCAGAACGCAAGGGTGAGCGACCTCCAAAGAGCCCAACATCCCCCAACCCCCCCCCCCTCCACCCCCAAAAAGAGGGGAGCCGGCAGGGCTGCCCCCTCACCCCTCACCCCACACCCACCTTGCGGCCGGTTTTGGTCATCCAGGACAGCCCCAGGCGGTTGGCCAACACGGCCGCCGTCACCGTGGTGCCGTTGTTGCCCCCCCAGCCCACCAGCATCAGCCCCAGGCGGGGGACGTGCCGCGCCGTGCGGAAGGTGAAGCGCGTGGAGCAGGGCCGGACCTGCGGCAAAGGGGGGGGGGGCGGTCGGGACGGCGGCACCCGGCGGGGCGGCCCGGCGATGCCATCCGAGGGTGACCCCGCGTCCCCTACCTTGGTGACACCGCCCTCCCTGCAGACGTGCGCGGTGCTGTACGTGTACTGCGCCTCGATGAAGTCTTTGCCGTACGCGACGTCGGGGCTCTCCACCACGAAGGGCTCTGCCATTGTTCCCGCTGCTGGGATGGGAGAAAACGCGACCCCCGCCGCTGGGACACGGCGCGGAACGACGGGGCCGACCCCGAGCCCGGGACACCGCCAGGCGGGGGGGGGCGCCGGGTACGCGGGCGGCAGCGGGGGGGCAGCGCGGTCTCCGCTCCCACGGGGGCAGCGGGCGCTGCGGGGCACGCGGGGACGGCACGAGAGCGGCCGCCGGGGGGACGCGGATCGCGGGGCCGACATCGCGGGGGGGGGACAGACGGATACGCGGAGTTCCCCCCCCCGCCTCCCCCTCACTCACCTGGAGCCGGGCGGCTGCCGGCGCTGCCCCGCGGGGATGTGAGCGCGGCCGGGGCTCCCCCTCCGCTCCCGCCCTTAAGCGGCTCCCAGCGCCCGCCCCCCCTGGCCCCGCCCAGCCCAAAACTTTCCATCGGCGCCGGATCCCCCCCCGCAGCCCCCGCCCGCACGTGCCCCGGTACCGGGGGTTCGAGAGGGGACACCGAACGCGACTCCGGACGGGGACCCCCCGCTCAGCCCCGGCCCGGTGCGTTCTCTCCCTCCCCCCCCCGCCCCGGGCTCTCACCGGCGCTGGGAGCGGACGGGCCGGGCCGGGTCTCCTCCAGGAGGGAAAGCGGCCGTTGACCCGGGAAGGGGAAGTGGCACCGGGGCCGGGGGGTCCCGCCGCTGCCTTCCGCCCATTCACTGCCCCGCGCCGGCGGCTTCCGGAG